TGTCCAAGCCCAAGCTAGACTTCTTTCAATGGCAGAAGCTGAACGCAAGAAGAAACTGAAGCTAGAGGATAAGGATAAGGATAAGCAATGGAGCAAAGCAAAACTGAAAAATAGACTCAGTCCCCGCCCAATCATCAGCGTCAGCATCATCGGACGATCTAAAGACGGTGGAACACTGGTCTCAGTGCTCATCACCAGGGACAATCTTGATGCCGTTACCGAGTACCCTTCCTACCTTGGCCGCTATGGATACAGCGAATGGATGGAGATCAGACAAGCCATTCAGCAATCCAAGTCGAGACACAAGACACTTATTGAGGACACCATCAATGAGCTCATCAAAATGATGTCTAGGTATGTCAAGGTCCCTGACCGGCCAACTCTGAAGAAAGGTGGGAAGAAGAAACTAAAGCTCTCTGATCCTAATGATGGACCATTCCTAAGGAACGAACATGAAACAAGGTTTTCCTTAGATGAAGTCCTCAAGGGTCATAAGAGTATAGACATTTCTATGCTGAATCATGACTTGCCAGATAAGGGTCCCTATACACCCAACTCTGTGCATTTTAAACCTGAGTTAGGAGTTATATTCCTTGACTATGAAGATGAAGTCAAATATCAGAGAATATCAGAGCTACATCTATGTCCAATGGATCACTTGGTTTCTCTCTTGCTCTGGATAGATGATAGCATGCTTGAAAAAGTCGTAGATCTGAAGATACGAAGGGAATTCCTACGTTGAAGAAACCTTGGTGAAAATGTACCTGATTACATAGATCTAAGTGTTCTAGAATAAGATTCWCTTTGTAACAACAATCYACTTTTCCTTGTAACTTCATGTACTATATCTTCTTTCATTGATTGTATTTACATTTCGTAAATTTTGAACATGTACTGTAATACTTGCATTATTTCCTATGATTAATAAAATGAGTATTTCATGTACTTCACTGAAAAAGATCCCTGAAAAAAGTAATAGGGACACAAGTCTATGAGTTTCAATGTTATTTTTCTCATTCACTGACAGTCTCTAAGTCAGTAAATAAGCTTTCAGTTTCAGTTTCCGTTCTTGTAATTTTCTTAGATATAACTTAAGAAAACTTCTCATGCTGAGACTAATCAAACTGAAAAAGATCCCAAAATAGTAAAAAGGGACATGTATTTTATATGTAACTTATTCCTTACTATTATTTGATAAAATAACGTTCTTTATGTTATCTTGTTATCATCAAATAGGGGGAGATTGTTGATCCTCTCTCTCAGTGATTTGATGATAATCCCTTTTCTCTTTCACGTTGTATTTGTGTTTCTGTATTTTCAGTTCCAGCAATCTTCACTGAGTATGTTCAGTGATCGCTGAAGAACTTGCTTTGTAAATCTTTCAGAAACAGCAATACTTCAAGAAGACAACACTCACACCAAAGAACCTTCAGCAAACGTCGAAGACTGAAACTGAAGATTAGAGACCGGCGAGTACGTGATCTAAAGCGGTATTCAGTGATTACAAGCATGTCTATATATGTATGAAGACTGCTCTAGCTTCAGCGAATGATGATGAGACCTTCAGGTTCTTCCAGCATTCAGCGATCAAATGAAGCTTGTTTAGCACGATTGTTGTTGTCTTGTCCTTATGCACACAAAGGACAAACCCATACCCTTACAAAAGTTAGTACGGTACGAAGCCGATTAGTCGACTCTTTGTCCACCAACTTTAGGTAAGGATGTCTGCTCAGAAATAGTGCTTTTGTACTATTCACTGTAGCAAAGGACAAGYCTTCCTCTTAAGGTTTGACACGCACTCTAAACCTACCATATTGCATTAAATGATCATTTAATGCATTGGGTATAAATAGAAGTGTTTCTTCTCCATGCAGAGAGCGTGCATCTCTCTCTAACCTTATTCTTACTTYAAGCATTTTCTAGCTTAAGTAAAGGATCTTTCTTTTAGCAATCTTTTTTCTTGTATTTGCTAAAGCTTTTGTGTGTAACCAAAAATTGTTTAGATAGGTTGTTATTACCTTATATTTTCGCAAACAATCTTGTAAAATATGTATTGATCTTCTCTATCAATATATATTTTAAATTTGAAAATATTGTGTTTGTATTCATCTCCTCCATTCTACAAACTGTTTCTCTTCTTGTAGACCCTTACGGGACCAACAAATGGTATCAGAGCAGTGTTTTCTTTCTTTTCTTGTGTTTGGTTAATTTTCTATATTAATTTATCTCTTCTTAGATAATTTACTGCTTACAAATGGCTTTACAAATTACAAACATACACACACAAAAGATAATGGCTCTCTTGCCAAACCTCCTCGGTTTGTCCGTGACATATATGATTTTGTATCATTTATCTCCCTTAACCATTAAGAGCCTTAATTTCATTGTAGACAATTACCAAACAATTATATTTCATTTTGCACTATATCATGAGAGCCTCTTAATCATTCTCCACCAAACCATTCAGCAATTGCCAAACAACAAATGAAATTGTGAACATACACTATTACACCAACAGTATAACCACATTAAATCTCACCTTCATGTACTTGCCTTATTGAGTTCTCCATCTCCTACCATTGGAATTTAGTGATGGATTGGAACTTGTCCCATTCACACAGCCACGATTCAATCACTAAAGCCGGTCACAGAAGTCAAGCCATGTTGGTTGATCGTCAACTTTAAGACACATGTCGACCAATCAGGGTCGTGGGTACCAATTTAGGGACGGTTTTCGGACATTTGGCAACCAATTTGAGTGCATAGCGTCTTTACTTAGTTGAAAAGTTGAGAAGGGTGGAGACAAGTTGACATGTGGATGTCAAAGAGACTTAAAAAAGGAGCAAAAAGCAACTTTTTGTGTGTCAAAATGCAAGGACATAAACAGGTTTTGTAAGATGGTCTTAAAGATATGAATATGTTTTCCACAAGGATAAAGTGGGCATTTAATCATGTACATGTTCTTCATTACTTGATTGTGTTAAAGTGAGAACCAGGTGTCAACACCATTATTGGTCACAAAATAAACATTTTTATTCTTGTCTAGCGGTATCGTAGTCTTTGGCCTCCTAGGAGGTCAGGGGTTCAAACCTCACCGAATGTGAGGAAAGGTGTGTGAGTTTATTTGTTGTATTTGTCATATATAGCATGTTGCTATATTAATCCCAAAAAATACGGAGCAAAATTAGGAAAACGAAGTTCTTTGAGCTTATTGGAACTCTATTTGAAGAAGTTTTTTGAAAAAACAAACCCAATTTTTCAATAAACTCAAAAAATAAGCTAGCTTATTATCGTCAAACACGATATGGACTTAGATTTCACAAACGTTATATCAACTTCTTAAGAGTCACGATGCGTTCCATATAAAAACCGATATAAATATGGATGAAAACTATATGTACAATGGCATCATCATTTTATTTGTTACATATTCTTTTGAAACCTTAATTTTTGTTGCATCAAGTAACAAAAAACTGATGCCAAATTCATATCCTCCTAAAACCTGCTTAATTCTCTGCCTAAACCTTCTATTTACAGTTTGAAGGATGGGTTCCAACTTCATATTTGCATACAGATCAAGACCACGATTACGCTAACGGCTGAGTCGGCCAAAGGCCCTTCCAGATCACGATCTCATCGTTATTGTAAAGTTTCCTGATTCCGGCATAAAACCCGTCTGTTTCATTGCCTACTTCCCGATGGTCCTTCCGATCTATCTCCACTTCCCTCCATCTAGACCCCGGGCTGTACTGTTTGAATTCCAATATCACCGTATCTATTGTCAAGATAACGTGTCAGTTTTTCTTTCATAAAGCCCGAAAAGGCCTAGACATTATTTGAAATAAAACGTCTTATTAGTCTTTTTATATGATATTATTTGAAAAAGTATCTAACAGAAACAAGTGTCTTGTAAAATAATAAAAAGATGTGTTCACAGGACACTAAATTAATAGAACATTTTTTTTCAAAAGCATCCTTAAAAAAACTTGTTAAGAGCATCTCCAACCGTTATGCTAAAAAATTTCTATAATAGAGTATAAAAAGTCAAAATCTCTAAAAAAAATTACATCCAACTCCAACAGTTATTCTATTTTAGCAATTCTAGCATTAACTATATTAATAAAATATTGATTCTCTCTCTTACATACTTATTATTTCAATAAGTTTAATTGGTTGGATATGATAAAAATATTGTTTCTCTCTCTTCTATAAAGTTTTAAAGATTTCTCTAAATTTAGAGATTTTTACAATCTCTCTCCTATTTTCTCCATTTTAGCACTGAGAGTGCATAGCTGTTGGAGCAACAAAAATGCTAAAATCTTAATTTTCTCCATTTTAGCATAGCTGTTAGAGATGCTCCAAGATGTCCAAATACATCCTACTGTAACATCATTATATAAGACCATTATTCGGTTCTATAAAGTAGTCTATTAGGACATTTAGATATCTTTGGCATCCTATAAAACCGGTTTTGGTCACCTAAAACCCACCGGTAGATCTATCTAACTTGAAGGTCGATCGTTTGAAGTCAAATGTAACGGGTCAACTTTCAAAGACACTTATTCTTGGCCTCTTTTACTTGTAGCCATATTGAAGCCAACCAAGAACCCATGAAAGGAACATGACTGTGTTCTATAGGATGGTTTTAAAGATAAGGAAACGAAATAAAGTTAACTTTTAAGCATAAACAAGGAATTAAACATGTTCCTAATTTATTGGCTTTTCTATGTTAAAGTAAGAATCAAGTGTGCACATAATTGTTGGTGACAACAAAAGGAGGAGCACCACATTCATACTCTAATATTTATGCTTATTTACAAGATTTGGAAAGCATCAAATCTTTGGATGGGTGACGAAACTATTATCTAGGTCACCCTCGTGCACCAAGTCTCGTTCGTGGGTTATGCGAGTCTTGTGCTATGTTTGACAAACTAGTCGATAAGCTAGTTGTTGGTTGAAAAGCTAGTTGTTGGCTGAAACGCTAGTTGTGTTTGGTACTTGGAGCTTGTTGAAACGCTACTTTTGGCTAACCAAATGGGGCTTTTTCAATAAGCTCGAAAAATAAGGTAGCTTATGCAGGGCCTTGGTTGCGGCACCAAGAGTATTATCATGGTGACCCTGGTGCACCAAGGCTTCATGGGTATTGTGAGCCATTGGACCAGAACCAAACTAAGGCCCGTGGATTTTGTGAATCTTTCTTAGCATTTGCATCAAGAGGCGACTACTATAACTCGAACCTGTGACGATCAAGATATCTTCTTTTTCTTTCTTTATGGTTTTAACAAATATATATCAAGAAAGTTGTGACTACAAGGTTGCGGAGACTCACCACTACGATGGCATTGGCAATAAAGCTTGTTTCCATCACATGATTCCAAGTGGCCAACAACTCCATACCACCAACCTACAATACGTCAAGCACATACACACAGTTAAAGGATATATTTGGCTAACTAGTTGAAAAACTAACTCTTGGCTGAAAAACTAGTTGTTAGCCGAAAAGCTAATAGACGTTGGCTAATAAGCTATTTGTTGGCTGAAAAGCTATAGTTGTTGGCTAATAAGCTAGTTGTTGGCTGATAAACTATTTAAGTTTGATAAAAACCTGCTACAAACTAGATGACAAGGTATTCTATTCAACATATTAGGGGACATAAAGTAGGTTTTCAAGAAGCTAGTTTATGGCTTATTAGAGGAGGCTTTTTCAATGAACTGAAAAAATAAGATAGCTTATAGTTGTTAAACATGGCCTAAGCCTAAGGAAAAGCATGATTCAGCGATCAAATGAGTACTCACCATAAGGAAACTCTTTAGATTTTCTCCATTGAATCTCAAAATGATCTCCTGGTTGTAAATGAGTCAAGCAGTCAGAGACATGAAGATCATATGGTGATGCATCAACTGCTGGTGATCTTAGCCTTTCCCATCCTATATTTTCTTCAGTTGTTGGCCTACCGTGTGCCGAATACCTACACAATCATTAATTTCATAACAAAAATAAGAAATTTACAACACACAAGAACGAGGCTTCTGCTTTGTTTTCAAATTGTAATCTTTAACCGAAAACTGTACGCAAAGACTGCTTCTATGCGAATTAACCAGAAATGTTCTCTATATCTGAACTAATTTCGGAGTTGGGTTTCGCATAATATAATGGAAACGACCAAACATCTTTACTGATTTTCTGAGTTGGGTTTTGCATAATATAATGGGAATCAGCACAATCTTTACTGATTTCTGAGTTGGGTTTTGCATAATATAATGGGAATCAGCACAATTACTGATTTCTGAGTTGGGTTTTGCATAATATAATGGGAATCAGCAAAATCTTTACAGATTTTTGAGCTGGGTTTTGCATAATATAATGGGAATGAGCAAAATCTTTCATAATTTCTGAGTTGAGTTTTACATAATATAAATGGGAATCAGCAAAATCTTGAAATTTTCACCTGGCCTTGAAACTGTCAGTGTTGGAATCATAGCTAACTTTTGCATCATAACAAGATAACAAAAACCCAACATTCCCATTCTGCAGATGAAACATCATATGACACTCAGATACCAATAATAAACAAAGATCTAGATAAAAATTAGAATAAACAATTGAATCATAGACAACCCTTTGACTTTAAATGGTCAACTACTTAATTTTCTAAATCCAAATTGATATGATTTCTTTCACTTTCCAAGAAAGAAATTGTTACCTGGAATGAAGTTGGGAATAATTAATATGAATGTAATAAGTATGTTGCTAAAATTTGGAACAAAATAGAAGCCAATTGTTGGTTTTAGAAGTTGTAGGTTTGACATCAATAAGTCAAGGTGCATAATTTGGGATAAATTTACCTCTCTGTTGTAAACTTGAGCAGGGAAAGAGAAGCTGCCATTTTCAAGTGAGAGATACCAAGCCATGATTGAATCAACAGGCACACAAATACTGCTTCTACTCTCTTTCACATTTTGCTTCCACCAAAAACCAGTAGTGAGAACCCCAAAATACCCTTTTCCATTTGAGCAATCCACAAGGGTTTGCTTCTTCTTCTTCTTCTTGGTATCAATGTAGGCCTGCCATTCTTTATATACAGAATCACCCATCAATAATTTACCCCATTTCCCTTTCAAGTGTGGTTCCCAAAGATGGTCTTGTGTGCACATAGCCCTAAAAGACCTACATACCCCTGACATACTGGTTAATCCAGCAGGGGAAAGCTTTTCAAGAATGCATTCCAAGGGCAAATCAGGCAAATCAGATAAACAATCACCATCTTTCTTCTCTGCCTTTGAAGTGATTACACCATTTTTCATTGGATCAAGAGGAGGAAAACTGAGGGAAATCATGCTTGTTTTTAGCAGGTGTTTGAAGAAAGATTGAAATGAAACAGAACCCATTTGAAGATTCCAAGATGGAATTGTTTTGAAGAATGAAAACTTGGAGAGGAGAATGAAGGAGAAACAAGAAATCAGAAAGAAAAGCATCGTAGAATATGAGAGAAAACAGAGTGCAAAATGAAATTGGGTGTGTTTTTAGCAGGTATTTATATACTGCTCATTAGTGCACATGACTCCACAGCAGCAGCAGGAAGATTATTACATACAAGCAAGAGACACGTCATTCCTTTTTATTACTTCTTTACATCCAACTAAAATTCTTTTTAATAAATATAAAATTAAAAAAAAATATCAAATTTACTACATATTTGAATCCCTTAATTCATAATGTTCCGTTAAGAGACATACTTTGAATCTAAATCGTTAAGAGGTAATCTTGTTTGGCAAACAAGAGTCTGTCTCTTAATGGTTCCAAAACTCTATGAATGATTTTGTATCCTAAGCCTCCCTTAATCATTCAGATCCCTAATTTCATTGTAAACAGTTACCAAACAATTATATTTCATTTTGAACTATATCATGAGAGTCTCTTAATCATTATGTACCAAATCATTCAGCAACGGTCAAACAGTCCCTTAAGTATGGAATCAATAAGAAGTTCTTTTAGTCTGATCGATAATCATTTATAGACAGTTAGTTAGTTGGAAAAGCATATTTGGAAAATTATTCTTCATAAAATGGGTATGCTTGAGTTAGACCATAAAATTAAATGGGTAGATTTGGACGATGAAAAAAGACTAACAGGGTGTTCAAAAAATAACCAGTTAGAAATGATATGAATTACAAAAGACAAAATGAGAGAATAGACGGAGTTGGTCAAGATACAAAGTTGACTACAATTCACAAGTTTTTTTCTCCGATGGTGGTTACAAGGCTATTTTAGATTAAACCAAAGTACTGGTTTGTTTTTTGTGTAACTCCTGTCAATGAGTCCATAGATAAAGTTCAAGACTTGATTTTAATATATTTTAAGACAAAAAAAACGTGAGACGTATTTGAATAAACGTTGTAAAATATCAGATAAAATATGAAATTCGATTGTGACGTATTTTAAAATCTATTATTTTAATGGTTTTATATTTGATATAAAACTAGGTTGGTTAAATAAGATAAAAAGAGTTACTATTGAAGAAAGGAAAGTTTGGTTAATTGGGTTACCCAACAAATTTAGGTGAATGTTTGCTTGTCTTCCTTAAGATATATGGATTAGGAATATAATATTAAATAATACCAAGGAAATTTTAGAATCTTTAAAAGGAAGTAAGCTTGTTTAAAATAGGAAAAACATTTAAAATATTTTATTTGATTAAGTTTTAAAAAAACCATATATATTTTAGATTTACTAGAAGGGTATTCGTGCAATGCATTGAAACATATCTTGATTTCAGTATTTCGTTTTATTTTTTTTTCATGTCGATATAATACGGTTTTATGTGGTTTTGAGAAAGCGGTGATGTTTTTGTTTTTGAATGAAATATAAATTTTAAAATATCATAAAATTTTGAAAACAAATATATATATTGATATCAGTATCAAATTAATCTTTTTAAAAGTTCTTGTATTTTGGTGTAATTTCCTTAATTCAATTTTTTAATTATAATTTAATTTAAGTTTAATAATATAATTTTTTATAAAGATAATAACTAAGTATTCTGTTAGAACTCAATAATTATCTTAATTATATTTTAGATTTTTTATATTTAAAATGAGCTATTTATCCAATATTTGATTATATTTATCCGCAGTTAGTTACACGAATTCAAATATGGAGCTYTAATAAGTTGTACTTATGCACAATTTACTTGTAATCTTAAATTTTAAGTAATATGCATCAATAAACAATACTTCGTGCATAAAAAATAGTTTTTAAGAGTTTTTGTTAAATGTTTTATAATATAGTATAAATTGTATAATTCTGCTTTACAAATACAATATTTTTTGGGTATTTTTAATAATATTAAGTCTTATTTTTATTTTGTTATTTAATTCCCAAATATTTTTTTATCCTTTTTCCTAGAAAAAAAATGTAAGAATTATTTTGATAGAATATCCTGAAAATCAATATTATAAAAATCCAGCAAATTATGTTGCTTTGGTGATCCCAATGGGAGAAGTTAGAAATTTTGTTTAAATTTTACTCCAAAAATTATTCAAATTTTGTTCTAATTTTTTTTTTTCTGAAATATACAATCAAAATTCAAAATATATAAAATTATATTAAATTCTAATAATTTTTAATTTAAAAATTTTCAATAATAATTAATTAAAAATATTATTTTATTCTTCTAAACATTTAATTCAAGATTTTTATTTTTAAAAATATAATTTAAAAATATTTTTCTTTCTCATGATTCCCTTTTTGAGGTTCTTCATATTGAATAGTGGATATTTTTGGATTTAATCTTATATTATTAAATATTATAAATATTTACAAATTATCTTTAATACTTATATTTTTATATCCTTATAGTTACAGATTAAATAAAAAAACCATAAGAGTATAAAATGTAAGTATTAAAAATCATTGGTGCATACTTGTATCATGTTTAATAATATGATTAAAACCAAAAAGTATTCAATATTATACTTTTTTAACGTATTGACGAGACGATTATAATGTTGTAATTTGTAAAAAAAACACATTTCTTTATATTTTAGTTAATATACGATTTTGTGTGTTAATATAATAAAGATGTAAAATAAAAAATGAAAAAGTAAGCGCTATAAAATAAATTAAATAACTAATTATAGAGATGTAAAGTGTAAATATTTTTTAATCAATTAGAAACTTTATACCTAAAATCTCTCCTTTTTCTATGTAAATTCCCTCTGCGTAAAGTCCATTTTTAATTTTTTTTTGCGCAGAAAATAAACTTTACGACGAAAATTCTTTTTCTACGTACAGTTTTTTTTTTTTTTTTTTTGTTAACTTTGACTCTTTGGAAAAAAGGATTTATAAAATGACTAAAAAGTGAAATCAATTTAATGAATTGGCTATTTGAGGAAAAGGGTTTCTAAGATGGTCAAAAAGTAAAATCACTTTAATGAATTGGCTATTTGTTTGAATTTCCCTTTATATTAAGCTCGAATCAAATAAAATAAAGTTCATTTTAATAAGTCAGATCCATAAATTCAATGTTCAAATCAGCTTGCTTGAAAACGAGCTATATGAGCCTAAACTTTTTCAAGACGAACATAATCACACGTTCATAAATCATAAAATTGAAATATAAAAGCTAAAAATGTTGTCAGTAGTTCGTATAATTGATCTGTTCAATCCATTCGAACAGTTTTGTTACAAGCTATTTTTTTAATTTCACTCGTTGGAATATTAGAGACTGAATGCCACCTAAATAAACTTGTCTTTAGTGTGTTATAAAGAATTAATTGTCATATTCTTAGAATTTCTTTACATTTAAATTTATAACTTACACCTGTTTACATACAACTTCTTACAGTTTTACACTTGAACTCTACAAAACTAACTGATAAACACGTTCAGATATATTATAAACACTGAGTCTTACTAATACAACAGATTGCTTCATAAATTTTAAATCTTTTAATAAGAAATTATATTAATTTAAAATTCTCAATTTACAATTAAATTTGTATTCAACTATCTATATTATATTATAAAGCATTTGACAAAAACTCTTAAAAATAATTTTTTATGCATAAAATATTGTTTATTAATACATATTACTTAAAATTCAAGATTACAAGTTGGATGTGCATGAGTACATCTTATTAAAGCTCATGTTTGAATTCGTATAACTAACTGCAGATAAACATAATCAAATACATGATAAACATTATTTCAAATATAAAAAAATCTAAAATAATCATTGAGTTCTAACATAATACTTAATTATTATCTTAAAGAAATTATTTTATTAAACCAAAAACAAATTAGTTCGTTTTTAAAATTCAATTAAATCATAATTAAAATTGAATTAAAGAAATTACATAAAAGAAAGAATTTTTAAATAGTTAATTTGATACTAATATTGTTTATTTTCATCAAAATTTTATAACATCTTCAAATTTATATTTCATTCAAAATAAAAACATTTTCTTTTTCTCAAAACCACATAAACTCGAATTATAACATTGATAGACTCAAAATATAAAATAAAACATTAAAATCAAGATATATCTCACTACATTGTACGAGTACCATTATAATATTACATAAAAAAACACAGCTAATTATTATGTAAATGAGTGACAATAAATATCTAAAAAGCAATTAAAACCTCACATGAAGTCTCGCTTTTAACTCCCAACAAACTCATCAACCATTTCCTTTAACACCGCCAAAAAGAAATCCTCCTTACATTTATTTATTTATTATTTAAATAAATAAAATGATTATTATTGTATTTTGATTTAATTTAAAATCATCTTAGTTGGAATATTTATTCAGTAAACAATGCAGTTATTTTAACGTTTTTAACAGTTGTCGTTCTTTATACGACACAATATTACATTACATCAGTATCTAACATATATGTAACAAAACAGAGGTTAAAAGAATTTAACTTTAGGGTAAGTTGTACCTAAGAAGAATCTGTTCCGTTGTTATTTACGTAAATAGAGGTTTAGTAGTCTGCATCTTGAAAACTGTCTACTTAAGGATCTGTAATATGAAAAATAAAAAATTACATAAAAATGAAACCATCTTTGTTTATTTATATTTCAAAAAACCAACTCTAAAAACTTATAATCCAAGAAACTTGTGACCAAATTCATGTTATCCAAAATTTGAAAATTTGTATCAAAGATTTTGACATATATTTTAAAACTATACAGATCTTTTTAAGATACAAATTTTTTTTTTTTTGAAAGACAAAAAAGGAATTATAAGGAAGAGAGCTTTGGCATAACCATTACCTCACCAAGCCAACCAATATATAAAAAAGAAAGGTACATATTTCTTTTTAACCTGTAAATTAATATATATAAAATATAAATTATGTTCTTGGGGAACAAGTTTTTTTTTTGTGAAAAACAAATAGTGTTGATTATTTTAATAATTATTTAAATGTATAAATAAATAAATATGTATTAAAAATATAAAATCT